ATATGTTGGTATAGGTATTTGTATTCCTTGTTACAATCACATAATGTTAAAAAATTGCAAGTAAAATAAAAAGACATTGGAAATTGCAAATGGCCTTAAGTTACTTTCAAAATAAAACGACCCAATTAGTGTATGAATTTAATACTGAACTCATTCTGGCACTTTAATTTTGGAAAATATTATGAAATTATTAAACCAAGCTCAGCAACATTAAATTATCGAGTTTTTTTTTTTAGTTCTTCTAAAAATTATCCTTTAAATTATCCGTACAGAAAATTCATATTTTTTAGAATTTCATGCAACATCAAGAATGATAAATTCCTGTTATTTTTGTACAAAAGGAAATATGAAGTTGTTGCATAACAACTGAAGAAATAAAGAATAAATGAATTACGCCTAAAAGATGGCAATTTTTTGCATATTAGAAAATATTTTTTGTTGTGATTTATTTTGCTATTATTTTTGTTGTAAAATTATAAAATGTCTATTAATAATTTTCTAATTTCTCTAAATTATTCTTTTTGCTTCAGTAAAAAGACTGGTATATTTAAAATATGAAATTTTTTAATATTGTTAAGAACTTTTTGAGTAAAATACAGCCAAACATCTTTGTTTTAACAAAAATAAAACTGGGACAAAAATTTTATTCTCTTCCAATACATAGTTAAGTTTTAGATATGCGTTTTCTGAGAAAAAATATCCCTGTATTAACACAACCACATCCACATATATTTTAAAATCAAAAAAATTTACCTTAAAAATTACTACAATTCAATTTATAACAGTTCGATTTTGATATTATGCTATACATATCAAAACTTTTCAAAAATAAATAATTTATAAGCTATCTAAAGTTCAACAAGACTTCAAACGATACTTGTTTCAAAGAGATTTTGAAGTCTCTTTACAACATGCAACAAAACTTTACATTGGAATCATTTATTTCGTTTAACATACATATTTTATAGAATATTCTAAATATGACATATGAAATAAACTTCACATCAATCTTTCGATGTTTCCTCCAAAAATAACATACAAAATTTAAGACATATTAATTTTTTTTTTATTTATGAATAATTCATATATGTATCTATGTATATCTATATAAATATTTAAAAAAATATATTATGTTTGGTTAAAAATTTTGGACAAGTTCAAGGATAAAGTTAAAGATATTATAGACGCATGTAAAGCTATTTACAAGAGTTTGAAAATTTTTTCCAAGAACATTCAAAATTTTCAAATAAAAAGAAAATCTTATAATAAAAAATGAACATGTACTAGAATATAAAACATTTTTGAAACAATTTAAAACTTTAAAAAAATTATTCACTATGTTAGAAAAAATTGCATACTTCTTGGGGTATGTATTACTCATTCAACTTTAATATAACTGTTAACTTAAATTTTAAAAGAAAAACTTTTATGCAAACATTATTGTAAAACTTTGTAAAAAATATGACTCTGATTTAAAAAATATTTTACTGTCGGTTTGGTAAGTGTTTACAAGTTTTAGTCTGATATTTTTAAAATCTGTAGTAAAACTTTTTTTCAATATTGAAATTGTGAAAACATTCAATTTTACACATTCACTTACATGAATGTGTAAAAATATCTAATTTGGGGGACATAAAAATCAATGGGTTTAAAAAAAAAATATTTGAATTTCAATATTTAGATGAGTTTTCGGTAAAATGCTCGAAATTTTCCGTAAGAAAGCCGGGGGAAATTGATAATTTTACTTGAAAGGATTTTTTAATTATTTTAGAATAACAATAATGTTAAAAGTAATCCAAATGATAAGCTCCCTTTAAAATTAGATTTTCTTGGGTTATAGGCATGTTAAATTCATAGAACGTCTTTTACTTTTACGTTGACTAAGGCTTGTATCACAACAATACTGTCATTTATTTTCTGAAAACTATCACCAAATATTAACTACATTGTTAATAAATTGTGAAGTGAATTTTTATTACCAAATAAGTGAACTTTCTTATTATGCAGCCAATTATTTCATAATTCTTTTTCAATTTTAATACTTACATAATTATAATAATTACGTAGTCTTGTTCAAATAATACATAGGGAAAAATACGATTACCATATAAAATATTCCAATACCATACTATAAGTGTACATAAAAATGGTTCAAATATTAATCTCTTAAATAAAAAAAAAATTTCATTATTCATGCATTAAATTAATGAACAAAAGGCAATTTCTTAACAAATTGCCGATCTTTTAAAAAGTTTTAATTATATTTCATTGGCATTGTACTTTTACTGAACCTAGAAATTATATTTTTTTTTTAATTTTAGATGTACGTGCTTCTATACCTTCTTTGTATTTTGTAAATGAATTTTTTAGGAGCGCATTAGATTCTTTACATTATATTTGGTGTTATAAAAAAAAAAATCAAATACTTCCCAATTATTTGTAATAAGAGAATTTTAAAATTACTTGACATTGAAAATAAAATACTTATTACGTATTTGCACATACATATATACAGTATACATGTATTTATATATTGCACACTGAAATAAATTTAAAAAAAAAAATAAATTTTCGAATTCATTGATTATTAAAAACAATTTTTGATGTTAACAAAAATTAAAGTGACTGGCAACATAAGAAATTTTAGCTTTTGTTTTTTTTGTTGCTTCTTTTTTTTGCGAAAATTTAACAAATAAATAAATCACGTTTAGTATTGACGCATGAATTAACTGATGTATACTCAATATAATGTTGTATTTTAAAATTACAGTAAAACTTCCATAGAATGAACAACAAATATACCGAAATTTTCTGTTTAACGAGAAATTATTGGTGAGTCGGTAAATTTTTAATTTTAGTCGGGTAAAAAATTCTACACATAGTGATCCGGAGGTTGCGTAAATGTTTAACTAAGTATTTCGTTGGAGTTTCTTAGGAATATCATAGAGGATAACGTAGCGCATTAAAACTTTGAAAAATTTTCCATTTTCTAAACTGAAATTTCACACTTAAGCAGCTATTACTCGAAAACGCCAAATCAGTCATTAAAATTACCGCTATGTAGATCTATTAACTGAGAAGAAAGGTTGCGGAAAAAACATTCAAGCTTCAGCAGTTTCGAAGCTGATTTTAATATTTGTCAAATGGAATTTTTCAATTTGATTTTCTTTGGACCTCCAAAACTATCGCTAGACGTCTCTAGACGTGTCGGCAGCTTTACCATCAATTCCAGACCACCCCTTTAGCGTGCATTTAAATTCATTATAGCAAAATGATTTAGGTTTCCGTTTCTTATAATTTGTTTTTCCATATTATAAAAAAAATTAGTACACAAAAACCTAAAAATCCAAAGAAAAAATCAGAAATTTTACGTGGAAACATTTTAAAATAAGCACTAAGAGGCAAACATAACATGAAATTAGCTGTCATGTTCAAGTTTAGTTCATACATTATTCCGAATTTCTCTTAATATATGACGTAGCTTAAATAAGCTGTATTGGTGTATAATTTTTAATTAATTTTTGTTGAGCGAACTCCTCTATATTACGAACAAACAATTTGAATTTTGAGTGGTTTGTTATATGGAAGTTTTACTGTATATGCACACATGTCTAGTATACAATAAGCAACATAAATACGGATACAGACTTTATATTAAAAATTTTTTTCTAAACAATTTCATTATAATTTTAATAGCAATTTCCTTCTTTTACGTGACTTTAGATGAAAAGAAAACAAAAATTGTGTATTCGAAAATTTTATTATTTCTGCTAGAATCAAATTGATTCCCTCTAAAAGAATTTTTTTTTTTTTTTTCATAGACCACTTATTTCAGACAAAATTTTACTTTTGTTTTTTGTTGTTTTTGTTATTTCTTTTTAAAAATCCATAATGGAATTAAATATTAAACATTTGTAAAATTCAATTTTTTTCTTTTTCTTTCTTTAAGTTGAAAACAACAACAATAGCAACATAAGAAAATTTCCTTTTTTTTTTTATTTTTCTTATTTAGGATCTAAAGGAAATAACAATTTAAGTACCTATAGATTTATAGAAAATTGTATAAAGCTAGGCTATATAAAAAGTTTTAAAATTTTTAAAAAAAAAAAATGGGAAAAAAAAAGGTTAGAAAATTTTCTAAAATTTAAAGAACACCGAAAGAAAAGAACAAAAAATATTTTAAGAAATATTTTCACGTTCACTTGTTACAAATTATTATTCAATATTGAACAAATTTCCAATTTTTCTTTTTTTTATTGTTTTTAATTCGAAATTGACATGAGATGTCGAACATATTTATTGTCATTACGTCAAATATTTTGGTCGACTTTTGACCCACAAAATGACTAATTGAAATATTTCAATATTTTTATCTTCCTGTGTACACACCACATTTTAATCTTTGGTTGGTTGGTTGGTTGACGTCCACCGCGACTCAATTAGCTAAAATATGTCGGTTTGCATGACTACCCCGTCATAGAGTGTACGATTACAATTGGTCTATTTAAGCCATTCGGTTCTCTTGAGGAATCTATCTAAATCCCCGACGATAACCTTCAATATTTCGTCTGGCTCGTTACACTTGCTTTGTCTCACATGTCTGACACTCGTAGAGATAATGAAAAGTCTCCTTCTTTTCCATTTCTCGGTACCTATGGAACGTCAGATTGAAGAAAAATGTAGTATAGCCGCATGCTCTCTCAATAAACGGTATTTCGTGTAGACTGTCGTAAGGCCGGCAATGTTCTTTCCCCTCCCACCCCCCTGAAAGATATCGTTACGAGTCCATCTATTTGTTAAGTCATAGTACTCATATTTTGGGCCATATTTTTCTTGACGTTCCGCATGTTGACAAAGTTTTCCACCCATGTGAGAGAAAACTCATTTTAACTGCAACGAAGTGTATTTCTTTATAGTCCCCGTTTAATGATATTATTTTATTACAAAATACAATGACAATTAACTAATTTACCATTTTTTTTATATATTTTTAATTTTAGGTACCATATTCTCAAGGATGTAGTGTTTATATATCAACATTTACATTAACAGCGATTGCAATAGATCGTTTCTTTGTAATAATATATCCATTCCATCCGAGAATGAAAATAAGTAGCTGTGTGTCAATTATAATTATAATATGGATATTGGCATTAGTATTAACATTACCATTTGGCCTATTCCGTCATGTATATACCGATACAGATGATATAACTGGTCTAAATACAACATATTGTGAAGAAGCATGGCCTACAGAGCATATTCGTAAAGTTTTTGGTTCAATAACATCAGCATTACAATTTGTTTTACCATTTTTAATAATATCATTTTGTTATATTGCTGTATCATTACAATTGGCTGGACGTGCTAGAGCAAAACCAGGTACAAAAACATCACGACGCGAAGAAGTTGATAGAGATCGTAAAAGACGTACAAATCGTATGTTAATTGCAATGGTTGCAATATTTGGTTTTTCATGGCTACCAATAAATGTTGTTAATATATTAAATGATTTTTATGCAAAAACCGATGATTGGAAATATTATAATTTAATATTTTTTATTGCACATAGTATTGCAATGTCATCAACATGTTATAATCCATTTTTATATGCATGGTTAAATGAGAATTTTCGTAAAGAATTTAAAGTTGTATTACCATGTTTTAATCCATCAAGAGGTTTATCAACGAATATTGAATCAAGACAACGATGGAAACGTGAATTAACAATAAATTGCCAAAGTGAACCTCATCAAGAATCATTACTAACATCTAGAGTATCAGTTAGTCAATTATCAATGAAGGACATTAGTCAGGGATGTACAACAACAAAAAATTCAACAATACAACAAACTGTATTTGTATCATCAGATACTGGCCAATCAAATGTTAAAAAAGGCCAATTTACTGAAACGAAAATTTTACCCAGCGGTGTTATTGAAACTAATTTTGAAAATAAAAATAGTTTGTAAGATTAGAGAAAATTAAAAATATAGAGAAAAAAAAAATAACCTTAAAAATACATAAAGAAAAAATGTTTGTATACATAAGATTTAGTAATTTGAAATAAAATATAAAAACAAAAATATTATTATTTTTTATAATTTTTGAGAAAATAAAATATAAAAATGTAAAACGAGAAAACTAAGTAATAGAAAAAACTTAAGTTGGAATTTTTTCAAATAGCTATGCCTTCTACAAAATCTAAGAGCAAAAATCTTAATTATGAAAATTTTAAAAAATAAATGAGAAATGAAAAAGGCAAAAATTAAATTAATTTATAAATTATACAATTAATAATACAATTGTAGATAGATAGATTGTTAATTTTTTAAAAAAAAAAAAACAAAATAGAATTAGAATTAAAATGTACTTTGGTATATTAAAAGAAAAATTAAATAAAAATTTAAAAAAAAAAAACATATTCCAAGAAAAAACAAAAATGTATTTGTGAAAAGTGTAAAGAAAAATTCTCAGAAAATTTTTAATTTATATTTTAAATAATTTTATTTGTAATTTTTATCATTATATACATGAAAATATAATTTTATTTAAGCTGAAATTAACAAATTTAATGTCCTTCCAATCTTATAAACTCAGTTGACTGAATCAGATCATATTAGTTTAGTATCATTTTGTAAATCTGTATAGGGAAGAAAACCATTATAAAACTCTTCACCGTAAATTTTTTATTTAGCTTCTAAATTTATAGCAATTAAATAATTAAAATTTTACTAACTTACATTAATACTATACGAAATGGTCGGATAACTTGCAAAATTGTAAAATTTTACTCAATAGTTAAATGATTTTAATAGGTAGTCGCTTCGGAATCACTCATAAATTTAAATTTTTAAATATGATTTTTATTAAGAGTATTTATTAATAGTACAGTTTTTTTATACTAGTATATTTTTGATCCAAACCTTGGATTACGCTCGTTTCGTATTATTTAATCCCCTCAGATCTAAATAAGACACTAATTTCTGTTGATGCAGATTTTATTTGATTTTTTAAATCTACATTCTCTGTTTGTAATTTGCAGATCTCGTTTTGTAACACCTTACAAAGACCCTCTAACTCGGTTATTCTCGAGTCCTCAGTATCCAATTTACTCTCCTATATAAGACGCCTTCTCATATTACCCTCTTGGGTTTTCATTTTTTTGTCTTCTGCAAACTTATTAGACTTTTTCTCGGAGTTATCATCCTTAATTCTGCCATTTTTCTCGGCAATCACCAATGGGGATGATCGCATGACCCCCCATCTACTTCTAAATGGACCCATCAACGCCGATCTACTATGCAATAAGTGGTCTCCCAGAACCCATGAGGCCATCATCCGAAGAGTGTGAATTTTCCAGCATTACTGGATTACCACCTCGGGTATTCAATCCTTGTGTTTTGTTCATTGTATTTGTTTTGTTTTATTTCGGAGTTTTCTTCTCCTAGACTTTGAGAATAATTCCCTCGTGCAAGGCAGCACATAAAATTTCTGCCGTCCCTCAGGGATCAGTGGCAGACCATAACTTAAGTAAACAATGAGAGCCGCTCATTGAGAGTCCGTCGCGTCTAGATATCTATTTGGATTTTAGTGGACTCTTACCACAAGCATACCATAAAACCTTCATACAACTACAGAACACGATTTATGATGTAGCCAAAGGACTGCGTCAAGGCAACGAATTTAATATTTTATAATTCAGTATCTCTACTGAATCTATGTGAACTACTGAATACTGAATCCAACAGTATCTCTACTGAAATATCTATGTAGCTTTATAAGTTCCTGATGTGGTGGTGTGTTCACCTATTGAAAGTAATATTTCGCTGGTTCGAGCTCAATTCGAACAAAAATTTTCTCATATTGGCTCGTTTCTTTGAATAATCATAAAAATTCTCTAATGAAAACCTTATTTCAGAGAGTCGTATCCCAATAGTAAGTAGCCTATTGTATAGAAATAAAGTCAATTGAAAAGAAAAATGAAGAAGGATGTGATAAAGCTGATAACTATCAATGCGTTATTACTATTTTGGCCTGATGTACTAAATTTGAATAATTATTTTAACCAATTCTAAATGAAAAGATCAAGGAATAAATTTTCCAAATGAAAAGAATAATAGACTAAACGTTGGTTCAATAATGCATTCAAAGTAGTTTAAAAACAATAACCAGTAAATCAACCAAATTTTAGGTGAAATTAAAAAACCGTAAATGGGAAAAATTCCGAAGGTTTCGTTAAAAATGTAAAAATCCTCATAAAGCGTTTTTTACTTTCCATAGGAATAGAATTTATATAAAATGTAACATATTCTGAATTTCTAGAACAAACCTAAATACAGAAATGTAGAAAATTTTTATTTTATTAACTATTTAACTGGTTGAGGGTCATGGTCATTAAGCACAAAACACTCTTAGAATAGATGATGGGGCCAAACGAAATTTCGTACAATTATTTTTGATTATAAATAAAAAAAATTTCAATTAAACAATTAAACATTAAATTCAATTTGCAAACAAACAAAATTAACTTTTTATTATAGTAGAACTTATAACTATTAACTTGTAATAGCAGAATATGTACACAATTAATGGTAGCCAATTACGAACAAGTACGCATAATTTTTATTGCAACTATTAAAACTCAATTCAATTTCAAATTATGTATTTGTATACGCATTAAAAACAAAGTAGTAAATTTGCATATGTAGTACAACAATTTATAAGGGCATTATATATTTTTGTACATAGATCTATATGCACATATAATATTTAGCAATAAGGATAATAATAAAAAGGAAGCCTTCTAATCGAATTGTACTATTGTAGTCTACAAATTTTATCGCATATTAAAATTTTGTCCAACAATAACTTTCATCATTATTCGTCAATTGTGATACACAATGCATATAATAATTTTATTACATGTTATTCAATTGTATTTCTAATCGTTTCGTATTATTTGAAGATATCATTATTTCCTATTACAAGTATCCCATGTACTAGACATATAGTATTATAATTAAGGGTAACGAGCCCTACTTCATTAAATTTTTATAGATTTTTATGTTATGCCAATTCAAATTTGTTTTTATTTATACGAATTCTGATTAGCACTATAACGGGAAAAGGAAATTTTTTATATATTTGAGAAAAATAAAAAATTTGAATGATGCTATTTGGAATATAAAAAATTATTTATTAGTAAATAATAATATAAAACTAAAATAATAAAGTTGTGTTATCTTTGAAGAAAAATAAACATTTTGGTATTAAACTCTTAATACGTATAATAAAAACTTAAGAATAGGTTTTTGGAATCATTAAATATTAACTACTTGGGTGAGACTGCGTAAAACTATAAATAATTTAGTTAACACTTTTTTCTGGATTTTAATAAAATTAGTTGATAGGATGTTATGGCACATTTTTAATTTGCCGCACTATTTTTACCTTAATTTTTTTCTCAGGCCTACTTTATAACTTAAGACTACTACCATCATTTCTCAAAAAATATTTTTAAACGTTCAAGCTTTAAGTACAGAAATGTTTATTTAAAGAACTCACTTTTATACTTTACAATTTGCAAAGTTACAATATCTATGTTGGTCCGCCATATTTTTTAAAACAAGGACAAAATTTTAACCAGCCGGATTCATTATTTCAGTTGAATAAATAAGTTGAATACACATAAACAACCTTAAAAAAAATTTTACCTTGTAAAATCGACTTATATACATAAATTTAATAATTTCTTGTGTGATTTATAAATATTAAATTAAAATTTAAAAATAATAAAATCGAATTAAACAATTGCGTAAATATACACAAGAGCCCCGGACAATATTTCAATATTTAATTAGCAATATTTCAGGTCGAAACATATTCCATTGAACTGTGTGCTCTGTCATCAGAGCATCATAATAATAAAGCAGAGTCTTTATTATGTTAGACAGTAGGGCTCTTCTTGGGGCTCCCTCGTCTAATATCATGGGATGCAGACTGCTAAGGAAATGCGTTGATGTCCTTGATCTGGCTAGGTATACCAGTTAAATAATTCTAATGAAGGTGCTGGGACATTACGGTATATGCGGAGATGATAGTCTCGGCTTGACCCTGAAAGGGTTGACCACCCTTTTCATTGGGCCGAAGCCATGACAACGGCCCTGAATTGTTGGGAAGAACGGAAACTGGTCACACTCGGTCGTCCAGATATGAGGGTATTGTCGGGTGTATCCACTGTACCCTGCCTTCCAATGGTCCATCTGAAAAGGATGGCGAAGAGCGCGGTGTGCCGTCTCTGTCTTGAAATGCTGTAACACTTATTGTGTGAATACAAGACCGTGACTCGCCTACACTTGAAAAGCTTCGGAAGGGGCTTTGAAACCACAATGGAAGCCTCGCGACTTGAGGTTGCTGCTCTACTGTAATTTTTCAGGGGCTCAGATATAGTGCCAATGTAGGTGGTGATTGGAATCACAAAAGATCCTATGGGTCGACGCCAGAAGTGCTTAAGGAGTTTATAGACTTTAACTAATATATTGTTAAAAATTATCGTTTTTAGTAGTTTTACTGTCCAGAAAGTGGCCAGAAATAATTATCTCCACAAAATATGTTCGTGTATAAAATTTTCTATTTCAGCGTCTCAAAGTTTTGTAAACAGTCGGACGGCTGTGGGGACAGACGAACGGGCTTCGGCAGAGTAAAGGTAATAATTACATTTTTAAACAAATATTGAAAGAGCCGTCGAAAAGACTCTTATTATAAGTTAATTAATAAGAGTCTTTCTAAAGTTTATTTAACATGGCACCGACCTTAACGATTCCTTTTTGAAATTCTATACATAAGGTAATAAAGTAAGTATATATGAAAACTTTTTATACTCGTATTATATTAAAATTATTCATTTTCTTGTGTTTTTCGCGCATTCGATAACAAAATCATTATTGTTCAGTAATTTGCTACTCCATAATGACTACACATTAAAAAAAAATGATTAATCTACTGCCCAATAGATGTCTCATTTATTTTTTATTTTATAATGTAGTACCTTTTCTCCATTCCAATATAGTAAGGCAAGAATGGAAAATTTTATTTGCAAACAAAAATAGAAAATTCAAATTTGCTATAGTTATTTTTATACATATACATAGCTGTAATAAATAATGCACACTCGAAAGCAGAAATTACAAATTAATCAAAC